AGGTTCACTTACTGGTAGGATATCAAGCTTGACATAACATTGTGGGTTCACTTACTGGTAGGATATCAAGCTTGACATAATATTGTAGGTTCACTTACTGGTAGGATATCAAGCTTGATATAATATTGTAGGTTCACTTACTGGTAGGATATCAAGCTTGACATAACATTGTGGGTTCACTTACTGGTAGGATATCAAGCTTGACATAACATTGTGGGTTCACTTATTGGTAGAATAACTTGTACATTGGTATCTGATTAATTGCAAATGTAAGAGATACAGATAATTAGTCTATACATATTTGCTAATAAGAACATTTTCTATTTTTAAAAACCTGCAGTTTGTTTCAGATGTAAAATGATAGTGAGGATGGTTTCATTAGGTCAGTTTTAAACAAGGGCTAAGGTAGAACACTTCTCTATGATGGACTATTCAAGGGTTAATGGCGGTAATTTTTATTTTTTTTTGCTCTTTTATCATTGTGATGATACATTAAAAAGTCAGTAACTATGAGTGAAAATATTATCAAAAAACGTTCAATCTTATTTAGGTTCAAATCATCTTGTTTTTTTTCTTTTTTAGGATATATATTGTCAAGTAAAAATAAATTACTTTTAAGTAATGGTGCAACAGGTTTGTGTCCAGTTTAAGTAAGGACTAATTTTGTTTATCAACATTGATAAAAGATTTGTATTTGTCAGTGCAACATACTAACGATCATGGTTAGCTCTGTTTCACTTTCAAGATGCTGTGATTTAATGGTGTTAAAAATATCGTATTTCCAACCGTGCAAGTTTCAAAACTTTAAAGTTATGTTAGTAGTTCGACTCGTTGTCGAGTAATTTATTGTGTGGTGGTTCTTAAAACTGACAATTTGATGTGCGTTTTTGTATATTTAACTGGTGAATATTTATATCGAGTACCTCTAGTTTTTGTAACTGGTAATGGTCACATATATATATATATATATCTGTTTAAAGTGTCTGAATCTGTGTTATTGTCAGAAAATTGATGTTTCTCTAAGTTTTTTTCCTTTATCATTATATTTTGTGCTAGGCAAGTTAACGAATTTTTTTGTTATCGTTAAGACAACAACAGATCAATTTCTTGGGTTGTCTTTATTTAAACCTTTATAAGCTGATTAGACATTTGAGTCACATTCTGGGTACCTTTATGGCAGTAAAACATCAAAATTTCAGAACGAAGTAATTTTATTCGATCACTTTTCAATTTAACTTGCGATTAAATGTTGATTTACTGCAACTGCGCGGTGCATTACGAAAAAAAAAAAGAATATAAAAAAGTGATATTATGTTGTGCTAGAAGCAGTCTGTTTAAAAGTAACAACCAGTTCATCATTCATATTTGGATTATTCTAGAACAGTTATCAGCATACAAATAAATAAGTGGGGGGGGGATAATTTCTATTTTGAGCAACTTTATACTAATTGAAAACAGAAAAATTAAGTTTATGGTATCTTTAAGATATGACATTTTTTTTTCAGGTGTATCATGCTACCATATTAAGAGTAAAAAACACAAAAACTTATGTTTTTTTGTGGCACAGTGGAAGGTAGAACCTTTACTATTAGTTACAGCCGACTAGTTTTGGTTACACGGTTATCACCACTAGCCACGATTATCGAAACTAGTCAGCTAGGTTTTAACTTTCCTTGTGCCAAAAAATGTTTGTACTTTTAACATATGAAAGTTTGTTTAATGTTTTTTGAAAATAAAAAATTTGCCCAAAGGATTAGAAAAATTTGAAATATCATATTGATAACATCATTGTAGAAAAGTGAGGGGAAAAAAAAAGTAAAATTTAAGATTCTTTCATGTTTCTCATTTTCTGGGTTTATAGTGTTAACTGTAGAATATTTATAATTTGAATCACGATAAGAAGAAAAACAACAGTCTACTCCGTATCAATTGGAACTAATGTATCTTATCCCGCCTATTGGTGTTTTGTGCGAGCCCCCGAAGAAGCCGTAATGGCAAACTGTTAGAAAAAAATAAATTCCAGTTTACCCGGAGAAAGTAGTTGTTTTCCTTTTGTTTAATGGTGTAGAAATTCATTGTTATATTATCAGAACTATGTGTTGGTGTGTATGTTATAGGTTATCTTGTATATCTTTAAATAGAAGCTCTCACTATATGTAATGTAAAGAAATATTCCAGTAAAGAACTGATGCTGTACTTACTTTGGATTATATAAATATTTTGTAATTTTTCCTGTCTTGGTGGACTGCTAGATGTTTATACAACTTGCATTACAGCATTTATAAAATGTTCACTTTGTTTAACAAAATTGTGGGTCTTTCTGTCAAGCCCCACAACTATTAAAGTAACAGATCTGTTGATACCCCACTACTGTATGTTCTGTTGAAGTAGTAGATCTGTTGATACCCCACTACTGTATGTTATATTGAAGTAACAGATCTGTTGATACCACACTCCTGTATGATCTGTTGATACCCCACTCCTGTATGTTCTGTTGAAACCACACTACTGTATGTTCTATTGAGTAACAGATCTGTTGATACCCCACTACTGTATGTTCTGTTGAAGTAACAGATCTGTTGATACCCCACTACTGTATGTTCTATTGAAGTAACAGATCTGTTGATACCCCCACTACTGGATGTTCTATTGAAGTAGTAGATCTGTTGATACCCCACTACTGTATGTTGTATTGAAGGAACAGATCTGTTGATACCCCACTACTGTATGTTCTATTGAAGTAACAGATCTGTTGATACCCCACTACTGGATGTTCTATTGAAGTAGTAGATCTGTTGATACCCCACTACTGTATGTTCTATTGAGTAACAGATCTGTTGATACCCTACTCCTGTATGTTCTATTGAAGTAGTAGATCTGTTGATACCCCACTACTGTATGTTGTATTGAAGGAACAGATCTGTTGATACCCCACTACTGTATGTTGTATTGAAGTAGTAGATCTGTTGATACCCCACTACTGTATGTTGT